ACATCGGCCGAATACACAATATTGATGATGCAAGACAAGACCCATCCAGTTGACAATCAGCCATATTGCGGAAATTACATGCGCTTTCTGGCTTTTTATTGGGGTTCAATATTTTATGGTTATGTTTACTAATTATATTTTGTACACATGGCATACAACTGTAACTGACTTTTACATTGTTTTTATTAAATATTTTATGCAGCACGTGACCGTCGGGAATGTGTGTTTTTTTTTAAAGTAAAATGTTCGTGCAACGTTGGTCTTGATATTCATACTGTAGGGCGGGTTGAACCATATCGTGTTTCTCCCACGGTTCTTGCGTTTTCCGAATGTGGGATGCGGGTTTTGTAGGACAGATTGTCGTTATATCCCTGGATTGTAGCGCATCACTGTAAATCTGTCTGGAGTTGTTGAAAGCTTCTTCAGATGCGTTTATCGACACCTGTTTGGATTTGCTTCAATATGGGAGGAAGTGATTTGAAGGTATATTTATGTAGATGGGTTGGTTGCCTGGTTTTCGATATGGTTGGTGCTCACAGGTTTGTAGACATAGTGTTATGTCCAGGTAGTTTAAATTATTATATATATTATATGGCTTCCGGCCTGTTGCCGCCCGGGCCTGTTGCCAGCCGGTTACCACCTGGCCTTTTGCCACCAGGCCCGTTGTCACCCGCCCTTTTGTCACCCGGCCCGTTGCCACCCAGGCCCGTGGCTTCCAGCCTGTTGCCGCCCGGGCCCGTTGCCACTTCAAGAACAAATCATTAACAGACATTTGTAAGAAATCGTGTATTGACCCAGTACCTAAAAAACATCGAATTCAAAGTATGAATAATCTAAGACATTAAAGTGATACATTTATTTTTAGAAAATTGAAAACTAAATTGTTCAATTAAAGTTTATTAAAATTCCACTATGTAAGCTAAGAAACGCTCGATGCTGCGAAACTAGGACTTCACAAATCATGCCCATACTGTTGTCCACTTGATCATCGAAAACAAATCAATTTAATCCATGTCTAACATAAGAAAATACATACAAAAAAATAAACAAGTTGCATAACATAAAAATATCCCCCTCTTTTACGTTTAGATTGAAATATTTGTTAAGTTCACGATAAAACAAAACAGACCGGATGTTGATACCTGTACAGATTGAATGAAAGCTCTAAATGTTACCGTACGCGATTATAATACTTGCATAATTCTGCAGCTAATGTAAAGTACTCATATCAAGACGTGCTAGTTAAACAAGTTTATAACACAACTGCTTAAATTTTAAACAGTGTGGAAGTTAAACTGCTAGAAAAGAATTATCGCTATTGAAGAACAATTTCCTGCAGGTAAAAGTCATATGGGGAGCATTCATTCATGTTTGCTGCTCCTAATACGTATTCGTAAGTCGCCATCCGTCTCTTTGTTTAAATCTCGTTTAAAAACTCACTTGTTTCGTTCTCTTTGATTTCCCCTTTTCCATTTCTTGCCAGCTAGCTTTTTTGTAGTTCTATCAGGATAGGAGGCGCCCGAGTCAATTGGTGCGGACAGGGTACATTTTGATAAATCCCTGCTCAGCGTCGAGGGCGCATCCCCATACTGCGGTTTGGGTGCTGGCTTGATTTTTTCTTTTTTAATTTTCAATTACATATGCCCACTTGTTCTGCACATACAGACTCTCGTGCGCAGTATAAAAAAACCCCTTTAAATAACCTTTAGATGTATACAATGAAGTAACATCGTCGGAGCTCCTTTGTCGGGGAGCTGAACCCCTCGTAGGGGAATTCTTGGTGCCGTCCCTGCTTCGGGGAGCTGCCCCACCCCGTTGGGTAAAGCATGGCACCAACCCTGATACTGATGATAACCATAGGGCAATTACAATAAAAGATAGACTAAATGGGTCGTGCTGGTAAATTATTTTTATAAATCTAATGCAACATTTTAGAAGTGGGAACATTTATAACTCAAAAATTCAAAAAAGAAACATGTTCAGCAAGAATAGGGCCTGTCCTTTATTTTTTTTGTCACGAAGTAGAGCCTGTAGTCCTGTTGTTTGTGAAAATTACTTTCAGCAAGTTGCCGTGTTGTTTATTATGTTATGTAATGTTATATATTATATTATACCATAATGAAATGAATATCATTTATCACATTATTTTTATAATATCATATTATATCATTTTATTTATAGCCATAACAACCATTGAAATATCACGAAAGTGTCAAACTAATGCAATAGTTTTATTATTAAAAAAAATGAAACTGATAGACGTAGTAATTTCCTGCAAATTTGAATATTTGGAAGTTACTGTAGGTCGACTTTATCCTCTGGTGACGACACAGTCAACATTTGAACGAATCGAGTAAGGTTTCCTGTTAAACAAAAAGAATAGATTGTTTGTTTAATTTTAATTTAGCCACCAAATAATCAACACATCAGCTTCTTCCATGGTACATAAATTAATTAATTTATATTCTTATTTCCTTCACCATGCCTATGTAGACAAAAACAATGAAAGGTAGACAGTAAATTCAGATTTATTGTAATTCAATGTCTACAATAATTATATACATCTGAAAAAAATAATTTTAATAATAGATATATAATGTCAGACTTATATAGCGCTTTATGCCAACAAGGCTGTAAACGTTAAACCTACCAGGTAACTACTCTTGCCTTGCTTAATAATCTTTGTTTACGCCATCCACCAACAATTCAACTTATATTTAAAAAATCAGCACAAGCTCAGTCACAGTTAACTAAAACAAGCCAGTTTTTTTTTTCAGGAAATCATTTGCTTACGAAAATAAAAATGAATGCTCGTTCGTTAAAAGTTCTTTAAGGTTAACGAATAGAAACGCATTGCTTAAACGACTCTTCTAAAACGATAATCAGGTGCATTGTTGTTGTAAATCAGCTCTCCAGATTAAAAACTTGCGAAAGTACTGATGGAATTATAGCATGGACATGGAGCAAATGATGCCCAAAGTGAAACTCGCAAACAATTACCACCGCTAGCCTAACCTTCTTAATTTATACTTAGCTAAATAAAATAATTTATATATAGAAAGCTCTCCTTTTACCTGATATCTTCCCAGCTACTGCTACCTTAGTTTTTGGATACACTCCAATTAGATATGCTGGGACGACACTGAGAGTAAGCGCGAGGCCAACCAATGCATCAATTGGTGAGGATATTGTGGCCAAAACTACAGCACCAAATGAGATAGCTATTGCGATTAGTGGAAATATGATAGGAACCTATGGCATAAAAACAATGATAATATTAATCAACTTGGAGACAGATATATATACAATTCATTAAAATAGTTCTGAAATTATAGTGGAATTAAGAAGTCTGGAATCTAGGCCTTCTAAAAACGTACCATGAATGGTTTGTGAATATCGGGCCTACGCCATCTCATAACAAACAATGTTGAAAGAGCTAACGCATCACAGCAGGCACCAACAAACCCAAAATAGTTAAGTAATGTCCAAATGTCATTAACGAACACGTATATTACTGAAACTAAACACTGCAAAAAAGATTATCAATACAGTTAAATATTGCCACTATAGTAAGATGTTTAATGCTTTAATTATATGTTTGTGTATCACTCCAGACTATATTAAAACAACATATGTAGGTCTACTATGTTTTATATTAAATAATTACGTAAAAATGTAATGTTATTAAATGTAGGTAGGAAAATAACCCATAACTCGCAGCGTCATTGTGCTAAATTGCGTACTGGCGTGTTTTGTAGCTTATACTGTAATAGCTACATGTTCACATCTTTCCATAACGACAGGGGCTGAAATAAACCATAGCATCTGGTTAACCCCCTACTTTTTTTTAAGATGCAATGGCTTCTTTAAAGTGCACACGAGACAGATGTGTACACTGGACCCCCATTTTTAAGTCCTTATCCAAAAAGACTTGGTTGTACCAACCCTGGGAACAGTTTTCACTGTTCCCTGACCAACTGAACTCTGGGCGAGGAGGGACTCAAACCAGCCGATGTTTAGGCTATAGTTAGCGGCGCCCCTGTCTTACAACTCGGCCATTCTCCTCGCCTGGCTATACTGCTATTGCAATCTTTAATGTATTGTTCTTGTTAGTAATTACGTTACAGCTATTAAATTGATTTTATTATTGTTCCTAAAAATATTTTACCGCTTTCAGTACCAATATAAACGTTATCATGGTTGTTACAATGTAAACATATATTTTAGTGCTTTAGGCACAATTATAATATTTGTTTTGTCCTGGTCATCACTTACAGTGCCAAGATTTTAAAGCCTCCTATATTGGAGAAACATAACGTGCATTTAAAACAAGATTTCTAGAACATCGAAGAAAGAGCTCTACTTCGTCGGAAGTCTCAAAATATAATAACACTGAGTTTCCGGGTCACAGCGTCAAATTTGATAAGGCTAAAATCCTAACTGTAACCAAGATAGTTTGAGAGAGGGGTCAAGGAAGCAATCTATATCAGGGCCAACAGACCAACGTTGAATGGAGATGGTGGAAGATATGATCTTCCAAACATATGGAACAACACTTTAAAGGTAGGAATGGAGGAGGGGGGCCAGGACCAGGCCCACCCAGCCCCACTGCTGACGTCACAATCACTATGACGCAATTTCCATCGTGTGTCATTGTGAACAAGACTACAGTGATAGTCGAAAGCTTAAAACGTAAGTTCTTTTGTATTCTGCTTTATCCAGAGATATTAAGTTTTAATTGATATTTATTATTATTATTATTATTATTATTATTATTAGTAATATTATTAGTAATATTATTATTATTATTATTATTATTATTATTATTATATATATATATATATATATTCTAATGAATATTAACAGTTGTCAGCCCTTTATGAAGTAGGAAATCAACAGTAGTAACACGATTATCGCTATTACAATGTATGTACATCATAAAAGTCAATGAATAATATTTTGTTTTACGATTATTAGTAAATTAAGAAAACAACACATACAGTTACAATGATAGATCCAACTGGAGTCCTGTATTTTACACTAACCAAAGCCATTATTCCTGGAAACATGCCGTCTCGTGCTGTTGCATAATAAGCCCTATGACAGTTAAGTTAAATAATATACCGTTAATTATAAGTAAATATATAATTGAAAGCGATCCAATTTCTTAATCCATCAAACAATCGGACAAATATCCATATCGGGCCCATGAGTCTATACATGGAAAATCTCGCAGTGCGATTTGCTTGGACGACTTTAAACCATAAATAAAAAAAAACAATAAAGAAGACAACAATTAATTTAAAATCAGGAAATATAAGTACATATGAGTTCTAGAGGTAAAGAACGAGCGGCTTAGCCTTGCAACCAGGAGCAAAGGGAGCACAAAGTCAGGAGTCGATAGTTAGAACCACCATAGGGCGTATCTATGTTTTGGCCAAAGCTGGATAGGCAATTGATCGTATTTCAAGCACACAATATGTTCATGTTTTTTTAGTTTAATGTCATTCGGTAAGTCTAGCAGTGGCATTTAATGTTCGTTGCAATTTTCCAGTGGGATACCAATAATTATTGGTTTAGGTATGTAAGAAAAATTCAGATTATGAACATGCTAATGTAATTCCGGTATTATCTAACATAACTGTTATTTGACTGTATATTGAATCAATAATGGCTTGTATCACTTTTTTCGGAGTTTGTTTCATACTATCTTATTGACTGTATACAGTAATATTCCTAGGTAGGCTAATCTATAATTATAATTACGCTTATTTCAAATGGTATAGACATAACGGTAAACCGAGGTCCTCAAGAAACGTCTGGGATTCCAAACCTACAGGTCTGAAAAATCTCCCGAAGTGAATATAATTCCATATTTCAGCTGCAGCTTAATTGAGGGAAAATAATGCCGTTTATTAATTGCGTTTCCACTGAATCCTATGATGTTCCAACCACTTGGCACTGCACTGTCGCTTGTTTTATACGGAACGCCAAAAGAGCAACATTAAACGTATTTTATATGGAACGCCAAAAGGAAAACTTTCAAACTTTTAAAGCACACTCGGTTTTTAGGCACAGTAGCTTAACAAACACAGTCGATTTTCGTCAAGCACAATTTCAGCAAGCTGTGCTTTAGCTGCCTCTGACCAATGCTGTCTCATCTCATTTTATTGGTTTCTAAATATTTTTATGTTATGAAAAATGATATGAAACTGCTATCAAATCCTGTACCTGAACTCAATGCTAATTGTCCAAGTCAATGAAGCATGATTTGTAATTTATTAAAGCAATAAAATAAAATAAAACTGTTAGCTAATTATAACACGTACACATCCCACACACACACACATGTTTACATATTTTTTTTCAAAGTCGTTTTGTGTTTGTTCTTAGCAACAGTATTCAAAGGGCAAGAATTAATGGAAAGGGCTATTACAGTTACCTACCTTGGTTGTGCTAGGAATGAGTTCATTAAAGTCGTTGAAAGCGCAACAAATACAGGTATCAACCAACGAAACTGACCAAGTGTTTTCTCAGCGAAAGTCTACAACAACAAAGTCATGCGACAGTAACAATTGGTAATCATATAATTCATACAACAATTACTTCATTTATTATGCTCAATGAATGAAATTACATGTCACATTTCAGTGGCAGTTACTTTACTATTTATGTAAGCTGTGCAAATTATCTTACATAGCTAAGAAATATTTTTGCATTTTTTTTTCTCTATAGTGACATTTATAGTAATATATTAGCCTTATTAACGCACTGTGTAAGCCCAAATCAAAACAAGACTAAATATAGTTCAAATATAGCCTATTTCCAAAATATGGATACTTTAATAAGTAATCAAAAATAGTTCTTATATAAATGTTTGTGTTACTTATAGTTACCACAGCAACGGCATTTGAAAGCAGAATTTCGTCTGGAGTAAGTACAGCAAAGTATGCAAAGTTTACAAGAAGGTAAAGGCAGATGACGATTGTAGTCGAAATATAAATTGCTCTAGGAAACGATCTGAAACATAGTTTTGAAATATCCAGGTTGTCAGTTTTATACAAAGTAAACTATTAGTATTTAGTTTTAATATTTTATTTATATTAATAATTATTTAGTTTACCTTTTGGGATTTACAAACTCTTCTGTCGCCGACATTATGGAATCTCTAGGAAAAAAAATCAAAATGTTAACAGAATAAAGCAGATTAAGTATTTTCAAAAGAGACAAGATTCATTCATTCCTGTGAGGCAAGTGCAGAAATTGATTGTCAGTGACATGTGGACTTTGTGAACTCTAGAGGGTGGTGTCCCCAGGACAGATCACACGGCACATTCATTAATCCGTTTTATCAACGATACAGATAAATTGGTTAATGGATCAAATCGACTGCTCGCAGAAGACTGTCAATTTTACCGGAGGATTGATGCGCCTGCTGATCAAAAGTCATTCCAGTAAATCTTCATGGGCTACTTGTTGACAAGTTAGACTCCAATGGTATGAAGCTCAACTAATAAATTGCACTGTCGTGAGAATATATAGATGTTTTATATGCACATCCATGCATATACCTAGGATATTCCGATCCCCAAGTTGCAGCAGGTACTGCAAATGCTATTTCAATAAACTTTTTAAATTAAAGTCACTAAGCGCAAGCTCAGTATCTAGTGGTTATGGCGCCAGGCTAGTTATTTGGAGGTGGTGGGTTCGATTCCCATCTGAATTACTTGCGATTTTTTCGCAAGTATTTGGGGACATACATAGTATTGGGTACGATAACACGTCAGGTAGGACAAAACATCACTCCTATAGTTCGTTCTTGTGATTATGTTAACTAAAATTATAATATTCAGTTTATTTCTTTGGTTTAATTTTAATAACTCGAAATTGTATGTTGCTTATTATAGTTAAGTTCCTTTTAAACTTGTTTAGTTTAAGCTGTTATTTTCCTCTTTCCTTAGTTTAAGGCTCACTTAGCCACTTTTTTGTGTGCTGTCAATGATGTACAAGTGAAATGTCCAATAAATATTATTATTTTTCACACTATATATAAAACTTACCCTCCTGAAAAAGACCAACTAGCAGCATAGTAGGCTAAGCCAAGGTTACCCCACTTAATGTTACTGAAAGAATTGTCAAAGCTAACAACTTTGTCTCCTGTGGAAGTAAAAATATAAAAAACAACAACAGAGAATAATGATGAATGAATAACGATATATATATATATATACATTATATATATATGATATATATATATATATATATATATTTATATATATATATATATATGTGTGTGGG